GGGCATGGTTTTGCTGTCAGTGCAGGCCTTGTTTAATATGCAGATTATTTACATGGCACAAGATGTGCGTAATTTACTTGTTTTCTTGAAAAATGATAAGAATATTCTGGGTAATATTATTTTTTATCCTTTTTTTTGTTTTTTTGTTAATATTATGTGTGTGTCCAACATCCAAACGGAATTATTATGGGTTGTTATTGTTTCTGATATGTTTTGTGAGTGTTTGTGTTGTTGTTTGGATCTGTGGGTAGGCTCCATCTAACTGCCAATAACATGGAGGGTGAAGAACTAGCAAATCAAGTTTCTTCCATGTGTGTGCGTGTGTGTGCTGTTGTTGTTGCGTACAGACATCTTGTATTTATGCACTTGTGTTTGCTTGCCTCTTTTTATGTTTATTTTTCAGCATTCATTTGTAGCTGTTAAAATATTACTGGAGATGTAATTTGAGTGCATGTGCCATAAGCCTATCACTACGCCTGTGTGCTTTCTGGCTGGGAATAATTCAAGCATGACTGTTTTTATGAACCGGTTCTCTTCCTTAAAGTTCTGATGATTGTCCCTTAATTTTTTAGGGTAGTTATGTATTTTAAGTGGTTTTAGAACAATCTCAGTGCACTCACAATGAGTATACTGCAGGTTCTGAATTTAACAGAGGTTGAACTCAATCGAGTTGACTTACGTGTTGGGCTGTCGGGTGGATTATATTTCATGGATGGATCTCCTCAAGCGGTCCGACAGTTGCGCGACCTTAATTCTCAGGTTTGATTTCATGCAATTACCCCTGCAATTGATATTTGAGTTTTGGAAACATCATACTATATCACAAGTGAAAAAATGCTGCTTGCTTTTTAAATTAAATCTTTCTTATTTTATCTTATTGTGGTGAGTGTACTTTCTTGGCCTATGAAACTGCCCAAATTGCGTACTTTTACTATAGCAAGCCCTCTGCCCCATCTTCATTTCTGAGCTAATCTAGATTTTTGTTCACTTAACTGTAAGATCTAATGAATGTGAACAAAAGGATTAAACAATTAATTGTCGAAGTACATTGATGATCTTAAAACTAACTTGATGGCATGATGTGCATGTTTATAGGAACCAGTCCTGTGTAGTGTAACAGTGGGTGTTTCCCATTTCAAGAGATGTGATCTTTGGGTTCAAGTCCTATACTACCCCTTCTATGGTACTGATGTTCCTGCAGATTATGAAGGGGAATATTCTGGAGAGGATCCACAGATCATTAAGCAAAAGAGAAGCCTGAAGGAATTAGGAGAACCCGTGATTCTGAGGTGCCAACCATACAAGATTCCCCTAACTGAGTTTCTTTTGCCGCATAAAATTTCACCTGTTGAGTATTTCCGCTTGTGGCCAAGTTTACCTGCTATAGTGGAGTATACTGGTGCTTATACATATGAAGGGAGCGGATTCAAGGCAACTGCTGCCCAGCAATATGGAGCATCTCCTTTCTTAAGTGGCTTAAAATCTTTGTCTTCCAAACCATTCCATCGCGTTTGCTCGCACATCATTCGAACAGTTGCTGGGTTTCAGGTAAATCTTCTATTTATTTTTTTTAAACAAGTTAATCTTCTAATAAGTGTTGATGATTGTATATATATATATTTTTTATTAATAAGTCATCATGAGCCTTCAGACTAACATGTTCTAGTTGTTTGCAATTGATGGATTTTAATAGAAGCTTGTTTTAAAATTAGGCCAAATACGGCATACATCCAAATCGTTCGGATGCAATTCTATATTTTAACAAGTCTTGACCTAGTTTTTGCTGACATAGTTGCCATGTTTGGCCTACATCTGTTTTGTGCATTTGTTTTTTTCTTGTTTAAAACTGTTGATGATCCTTTTTTTTCTTACTCCGTAATTATAAGGGAGTATCTTACCCTGTATGTGACCTTTTTTTAGTATATAGATAAAAGAATACAATCAGTGACTGTGGTCATGAAGCTTATGTGTTTTCTTGTTTATTCTTCTTTTTGGATCTGTATAGCTCTGTTTTGCTGCCAAAACATGGTATGGAGGCTTTGTGGGCATGATGGTGTTTGGTGCCAGTGAGGTGAGCAGAAATGTCGACCTTGGCGACGAAACAACGACCATGATGTGCAAATTTGTGATCAGGGCATCAGATGCTTCTATTACCAAGGAGATCGATTCAGACCCACAGGGCTGGTTAGATGATCTGACCGACGGTGGTGTTGAGTACATGCCCGAAGACGAAGTGAAGATGGCTGCTGCTGATAAGTTGAAGATCTCAATGGAACGGATCGCTTTGCTCAAAGCAGCAAGACCTAGAAAATCCGCCGAGGATGAAGAAGATGAGGATGACAAGGATATTGATGATGACGATGATGATGTGGGCAAAGACGGTAAACCTAAGGGGCCAACAACTTTGTTCAAACTGACAGCCGAGGAGGTGGAACACCGTGCTCTACAAACAGCCGTGATTCAAGAGTGGCTCATGCTTTGCAAAGACAGGGGTGTCAAGGTTAAATGACTGCTGACTCCTCTTTTTTTTCTTCTTTTTCTCACCCTGTCATCTCATGTGCCAAACCTCATCTTTTCTTAGATATAGTTTGTCATTCTAAGAGCATGTGTGATTCATGTAGCTGTTTTTTTAATGTTTGATTTTCATTCATTGACTGTGTAGTTTCATTAGCCTTGTAGAGTTAGTTCAATTCCTTGTAAATTTTGTTTCAATGGTTTGTTGGTCATGATGAATGGATGAATGAGTGTTTGAATGCGTTGTGGAATGCATCTTTTGTTTCACACTCTATGTCACAGGGATGACCCTTATTCCTGCCCAAACTGAGTTTAACCCACTCAAGTATAGGGTTTAAGAGGCAAATTAGATTTTTCCTCTACTCCGGGGAATAGAGAAGTTTTCGCGAAGACTTGTCTCACTCAATAACAATGTTGCTTAGGCGTAATTTCGTTAGTCAATAGGGGATGCAAATGGTAATATCCGAGTTCGACTCTTGCCAACAGTGATAAGAACGACTATGCACAAGGCATAAACCTTGTATATACCAGAGATATATCTCATTTTTTATTGATCGGTCTAAAATTATAGTTTAACTTATCAATTTGTACGCTACTCTCTGGGCCTACGACCTACGTTCTTCCCCGAGCCAGGGCCGGCCCTGGGGTAGGCATATGGGGTTGCCGCCTAGGGGTTTATAAACAGGCCCATAATTATTTTTTCTCTAATAGTACTAGTAATATATTATTGTAAAAAATAATTAGTTCAGGGTTTTAAGCTTTCAATTTTAAGTAAATATATGTAGTACAATAATAATATGACAAATTCAATCATTCTAATTCATCAAGTGATATTGAATTTTTTTTAAAAATAATTATAAGAGAAGTCAAAATTTTTTAATTGGCACAAGGCCCATAAAATGCCGGGGCTGGCCCTGCCTTGAGATGTATAGTACTTTTGAGCATGTTGGTCACAAATGTATTAGTCCCCTGTTCCATTTATATTGCATGTTTAATTTTATGATGTTTAATTGAAATGTTTTCAATATAATTTATTTGGAAATTAGAGTAGGATTTAAAAATAAAATTTACATATTAAAAATGGAAAAAAGACTAAAGTAGGAGTAAAATATTGAAAATATAACGAAATAAGAGTTTCATATTTTTATTCTTGAAATAGGAGCTAAAATGTATTTGTAATGCAAATCATGATCATGTACATTACCCAAAAGTATTGTAAAGTGTCCATGTAGAATATCACATTACTAGAGTATAAAATCCTATGTAGGGGATAAAAATATTGAGCTTCTATTTTGACATTTTTTTCTAAGTTTTACTCTTATTTAAAATGATTTTTAAAAAATATTAAACAAAAAATTTTACGAAGTAAAAGGTGATGACTATAATTTTATCAAATCAAAATGTCAAACAACTTGTCTCCGGACTCTGATTCGTATTCCACAATGCCACAAAACTGACAAAAGGGTTGAGATATACTTGTATATACTCCAATCCAGCATAGCCGTTCAATCGGAAAGCACGACCCATATAGCAGTTACTCCATTATAAACGCAATCAAATACTGCTGTGTCATAAAATTTTATTGGTTTTGACTTAGAAATGAAAAAGGTTTGATGAGAGAAATGAAAAAAGAAAAGAAAAAGGTTTTGTGAATTAAACTTCATAGTATATTATTGTGTGTGAATTTAAGTATATTATGGAAGATCATAGTGTATTATGTTGTATAATGGGTGTGAAAGTACTAATGGTCATTCTTTGTGCTTTTAGGAAGAACCTATAATCTTTTAGGGAGGATGTCTTTCTTAATCCCTTTTACAGATCATTTTGGAGTGAGATGTTCGATTTGTTCTGACATATGGAAAGCCATCAACAACATTCAGAAGAAACTCAATCTTAACCAATTAGCACAATTTAAAAAGACTTCGGTTGGACATTTCATGAGGCTTTTGAGGCTTCAATTTTTTGGGCAAGTCGTGAACCACATGCTACTCCTCTCTGTAGACAATCAACCAGATGATGAATTCTAGATCTTGCGAAATGACAAAATTCTAAAACTCACTTTTGATGATTGGTGTCGCATAACTGCCTTGCATAATGCAAAAAAGTACCCAACATTTGAAGACAAGGATCTTCGAGTGTAAGTCACACATTCCCGGGTGGTGACGAGATGAAGTGCACGTTCAAACATCTACGTGTTAAATACGTTGCAGCAGAGAATACCACTGATTCAAAGCAAATGGTAGATTTTAGCATGCTCTATTTTATTGAGTCCGTGCTTTTGGCTTAAGATAAATCAACTTGCATTGAATCAAGCCACTTGCATTTGATTGAGGAGCCAAAAAAATTCAAATGTTATCCATGGTCTTGAGAGTCATCCTTGCTCTCGATACGATATATGAAGGGAGCAATGAATGGTCATGTCCCTTGAATTTAACTTCTTTAGCATTTCAATCAATAACATCTTTATTTCATCCATCTTCTCGTCAAAGTGATCCATGTATTTCTTCAAATCTCTAATGGCTCTTAGAGTGTCGGCATCACCATCCTGCAAAAAAGCAAGAAATTACACAAGTTATATTCCCACACATTTACTGCAGGTACTATGTCAATTCACATATGTTAAAAGTAAGTTTGCAATTATGGAATAAAGTCAAAATATTGCCTTCTTAGGTTGGACATTAGGGAAGAATATGTCTTTGATTGTGATTGCTTTTGTAAATTTTTTTGATGACGAGTTTAGTAGGGCGCAAGCTTCTTTGCCTTCTTTCACGGGAAGCTTTCTTTCTGTTAGGATCGAATCAAGAACACTCACAGAAATCCGATGAAGAAGGAGAAGAAAAAACGAGAGAGTAAAAGTAGAGAGAAAGTGAAACACGTGAAATAACGTGGTAACACCCCGTGAGTAAACTTCCACGGCGGCTAGATGTGTTTATTGATGATTTCAGGCAGATACAATTACAGAGAATTTGTCTCTTGCCTCTCTCTAAAAAATTAGCTACAAAGGAGAATATATATAGGCATTACAACCTCTACTTACTTAACCATTAAGAAAACTTAGTCATTAAGCAAACTTAGCCATTAAGTAAACTTAACCATTAAG